ATGCTGCTAGTTCATTGACTGTGACAACTTCACTCTGCCAGCTAAGCGACAAGCCTCACTCGGTCTCTGCTTTGACCATCCTGAGAGCGGTGTCTGTAGGTCTGTGCAATTGCCTTCTCTCTCCCCCTCTCTCTCTACGTAGCCTTGCCGTTGAGCGGAGGAGAAGTGGCTTCACTACCACGATGCGCCTTCACCTGTAGGCATGCCGGTTTTGCTGAGCAAATTGCGATCACGCGAACAGCAGATGTTTTAAGCGCATTACTGCTAAGAGGTGGGAAACTGAAGAAGGTTTTAAGTGTGCGTTTGTTAGACTCAGCTGCACAGTAACCTTCATCAGGCCGCTGTGGAGAAGCGTAAACCACTAACAAGGAATTCTAATCAGTGGTGCTCGTCGGAACTAGCGTCAAGTCTTTGACTTTGAGTCTCGTAGTGTTACCTGCGGACGTGCGACGTCTGGTGGTAGAGAGTGAGGCAGCATGGAGTTGTGGGAAATGGGTATAGTTGGGGCTGTGACACGCTGCGAGGGGCAGTCCGCCCAACAGACACACATCAAACTAACTATCACTCATGTAGGCAGTCACGTAAGCACAGTACTACACAACCACTCAAAATGCACTTCCTAAGTCTAAGCTCACTTCGAGGCTTGGTCCTCCTTCACGTCGAGTCCTTCTCTCTTCGCTGCAGCACCATGCGATCTGGCAACTCAAGTCGGCCTTTCAATCAGTCATGCACGTGATTCGTTGTAGTGATGGCCTATCGCAAACTCCTCCACCTGTCAGATCACGGTGATGTGCGCCTCAGTCAAAGGCCTTCCCGACGTGTCAGTGGCTCCCATGACATAAACTCCATGCAGGTCAGTTGGAAGTGCAACAAGAAAATACATTGCACTCAACTTCTTTTGTCTTGGATCGTGATTATGTGACAAACTCGCTCCCTTCTTAGCACCACCAATCTGCGTCACCCTTTGCTTCCCCCTCGACCTCCTACACCACCTTCTATCTAGACTCGAAATGGACCGAGAACCCTCACACATGTTGCCATTCGTCTCATCTTGGCTCTTGAGGCCGTTACGAAGGAGGCATTGTTGTCAATGCTGCTTGCACACATTGTGGCGCTTCCTCCTCACATCAGGTAAGGCGCAAAGTTAGGAGCATATTTGCGGAAGGAGAACAAATGTGTGCGGAGAGAGCTGCAACATGCTCCTCAACTATCGCAGCACCTCGATGCCAAAAATAATGCCACAAAAGGTAGGGAAGAGTGAAATATGCGTTGAGAGGTGCGCACGTTGACACAAGGCGCGACGGAGGTCATTCCAGTAATGGGAGAGGCGTGACTCCCCAACACGTTGGCGTAGGTGTTGTGGAGTAGGGCGATGCCCAGTCATACGCAACAGAATCGCGTATCAGCGTATCTGCAAGTGCCTTCCAATTCACTCGCGTCCACATTCCTCATGGCACCAGAAGGCTGTTTTGCTGAAGCAAACGACTAAGACTTGCGGTTTTTAAGTTCAGCAATTCATTTCACAGTGGAAGCTTGTTGGAGTTGTCAAAACGCACAAAATTACACTGACGAATGGCGGATTCCTTAACACAGGCTCGAAGATGGGGAGATTCGCTAGGCGCTGATGCCTTGTACTGGCAGCGGTTGCCTTGATTATGTTCGATTTTCTCCGTTCCTCATCTTCACAGTTTTCCACATTCAGTTGCAGTTGGTGCCATTCGACAGGCAATCAAGTGGCCTCACTTCTGTGCTAT